CATGACTTCAGCTCCCTGCCTCCTCTGCTCTTTGCCACCTGCAAGCGTTCTTGGTCACGCCCACTTCTCTGTTCTGCATGAACAGCTGATCAGCTGCAAAAGGAAGTTTATCCTGCAGTGTGGACTGCACAAAGGTGCAGCAGGTGCTAAATAATTTAAAATAATTTATTTTAAATAAAAATTTCATTCTGATCGTGCGGCTCATCCATCAATCAGCCAATTGTGTGTCATGTCCAAGCTTATTTTGAAAAACCGCGATAAAGCCAGTCCACGAAAAACGAACCACGAAGTAGCGAGGGACTGAAAATGTGCAAATGTTGTGTTTTTATGAGGAGTGTCTTACCCGAGTCCTGGGACACGATGATCTCCTGTGCTGGCCCGTCTCCGCCCTCACCCCACGTTCGCACCTCCAACACAACATAACCAGCGTCGTTTGGTAAAGGCAAACTCACAGACGTCTTTGTCTTGTCCAGAAACTTCAGTGCAGCCTGGTCTTCATGTTTGTACAGAATCTGGCAGTAAAAAGGGTTAGTTAAGGTTAATCAACTGTTTATGTTAAACCGCTTTAGAAAAACAAAATTTTATGATACTGTTCTCTTGCAGAAACTGATCCAAGACTCATAAACTTCGGTCTTTGATTTACTTATGAAGTAATTTATTGATTGTAATATCTCTCAAAGAAAGGTAATGAATGATAAATGATGTGATATGATGTGAACTTACATCAAAAACATCAGGCTGTACTATCAGAACACCAGTAAATAATGGTAATCAGTCCAAGGAGATCAGGAGAGCAGAAAATTCCTCCTTGATTAATATCAATATGTGCACGCTTCTGCAGCCGCCATTTGGCAACCAATCCATTTCTGGCACAACACCGGCCCACGTTTCCGGGTGGTCAGCGGTGGCGTGTAACAAATGCGACGCGTCAGCGGTGACACATAATAAATGTGCGAAGCGACTTGTTTTGTTTTTCCCACTTTATTAGACATATTTGGGCTGATGAGATTTATACGGTAGTGCGATGTGTATGACGGAAAGTACGATATTTATAGTGGTGCAGAGGTTAGAAAAGGTGAGCCTGTGATTTGGAGGTCGCTGGTTCAACTTCCCAGACCGACAACATCAAAATGTAGGTGGAAAAGGTGATGCACCACCCTTCTTAGTCCAACTATGGGCCCATGAGCAAGGCTCTTAAACCCTCCCTTCCCCCCTGCCCCATCTGCACCCTCAGGCTGGAAATCCTCTGTAGCTCAGTGATCTGTGGTTGCTTCAGGAAGGACATCCTGCATAAAAAAATTTCACAAGTCGCACTTTGTGCAAGGTAGTTTGCTGTAGAGACCCCTGAAAAAGGGAGCGGGCAAAAGAAAAGAAAAACACACACAGACAGACAGACAGATTAACAGACAGACAGACAGACAGATTAACAGATAGACAGATTAACAGACAGGACAGACAGACAGACAGATTAACAGACAGACAGACAGATTAACAGACAGATTAACAGACAGACAGACAGAGATAGACAGATAGACAGGTATGTTTACACTAGAGGTGCCCAACACATTGATTGCGACCTACCGGTCGATCTCAAAGGTATTATGGGTAGAACGCATGGCATTAAAAAATAGACGTCAGCCGATCATCATCTATGAAATGTTGTCACCTGAATGACAAACAGGGCAGCCAGTCTGAGGTCCCGTTTACATGATGTGAAACTGCAGCCTTGCTGAGCCACCATCACAAAGGGATTTCAGGTCATTTCAGATGATAACCACAATGATAATTGCAGAGGTCAGTTTGAAGCAGCTGATGCTCCGACTGAAGAACACACCTGGTCATCTTTTAAAGTAAAGATGCAGAGTTTCAGTTCACATACACGAGTTCAGGTCACTCACTTTATAACCCAGAACTGCTGACTCGTTGTGCATGGCCGTCACCTGATCCCACCTCACAGTTACAGATGAGCCCTGAATCCTCCAGGACAGATTGGCTGGAGGGCGGTTGGGAGCTGAAATCAAAAGATAGACATTAAAAGACTTCACCCTTTAAAAATATAAAAATTACTTATATATAGATATTAAAAAATGGCTTTTAAAATATGCAAAAATAGTGACAAAAACGTCCATCAGAAGATCAAAAGTTTCATTAGCTTTTTATTAACCTTTTTAATCTAAGCTGGGTTGAACATTAACCTTTAGTTTCCCCTTCAATAAATGTTTTGTCATGCCATGACTTTAAAAAGTTTATCTGAAGAGAAAGAGACACTAAAAACATTTCAAGGTTCAATGATTATTTCCTTCAGACATCTAAAGTCAACAGGAAGGCCTAAATAACCATTTTACTATCTACAGAATCAACCACAGCCAGAAAGAGGTCAACGCGGTTCAGACTTCTTCGGACCCTGTTAACACAAAACACTCATCACTGATAAAACAAATTATTTTACATGATTTCACATCGTAAGTTATCATAAGACAACATACAAAGCTCTCAACAACCTAGTTCCATCTTATATAACAGATCTTATTTTCCATATTTTCCTAACAGAGCACTTCACTCTCTGTGCACAGGCTTCCCTGTGGTTCCCAGAGTTTCCCAAAAGCAGAATGGGAGGCAGATCTTTCAGTTCTCAGGCTCCTCTCTTGTGAACCAACTTCCAGTTTCTGTTTGTGAGGCTGACACATTATCCATGGTTAAGACTAGGCTCAAGTCTTTACTTTTTGATAAATCCTATAGTTAGGGTTTGTTTGGGTTTCCTGAGCTGTCCCTTAGTTCTGCTGCTATAGGCTTAGACTGCTGGAGGACAAACTGACCACATTTCTTCACTCTGCTGCTTCTTTACTTACTCTACTCTACCTGTTTGTTTCGAACCAGACTTTGAACTAGTTCGACATGACTGTCGACGAGGAAGAGGGCTGGCAACGGAGGAGGGGGCGTGACAAAGACACCATCTTAGCACCAACATAACTGTCCTGATGCATGCTCAATAATCCAGGTAGAAAAATCTACAAAAGTTCAATCTGGTCCTCTGGACATTCAAAAAACAAAACAAAACAAAAAATTTAGAAACGTTTCGTCTTTCATCCGAAAGACTTCCTCAGTCTGAGGAGCTGTATTCAGCTCAGTCTTATAAGGACCATCAGCCTAACGATGGATCATTAGCACCCTGATGGCTGTTTACTATTCACAGGGGCCTGAGTCATAGTCCAAGAAAGCCAACCTGCCATTTTTTTACATCTGGGGAAACTGAACAGCCACTGGCCAAAAGGATGGACCAGCACCGAAGATCAACATCATCAGGCCAGGACTCTGCGGTCTACACTCATCTCCAGGTCAGAGGTCACTCTTTCAGGGATGAAGATGTTCACATCCTGGATAAACAGCAACAATGGTTTGAGAGAGGAGTAAAGGAGGCCATCTTTGTGAAATCGTCCATCATTAAACAGGGGTGGAGCCTACGTGTTCAACTGTCCCCCTCTTACACTGCTGTGATTGCTAGTATCACTCAGCCCCCTGTGAATAACAAGCAACCACCAGGGTGCTAACGATCCATTGTTAGTCTGATGGTTCTGGTTGTCAGCAGCAAACTGGTTGATCCACTCTGAGAAGGTGCTATTTAAGAGACTGAGCTGAATACAGCACCTCAGACTGAGGAAGTCTCTTGGATGAGAGACGAAACGTTTCTATATTTGTTTGTTTTTTGAATGTCCAGAGGACCAGACTTAACTTTTTTATATTTTTCTACCAGTATTATTGAGCATGCATCAGGATACCTCCTCTCTTCCTGTTTTTAAATCTCCTTTAAAAACACACTTTTATTCTTTAGCTTTTAACACGTGATCTTATCTTTTATGGCATCTTAACACACATACCATGAAACTGGTATGCGTGTGTTTTTATGTTTCTTTGTGTATGCTTTGTATGTTTTTATTGTCCTAATTAATTAATTTTTTTGTACAGCACTTTGGCTACCCTTGTGGTTTTTAAAATGTGCTATAGAAATAAAGTTGATTGATTGATTGATTGAATTTGGAAATAAACATGCTCCACTTTGCCCGCTCAGAGTAAAAGGCCAGAATAGTCCCTGGTTTACTTCTGAACTAGCTGACCTCTTGCCCAGGAGGGACCAGCTTAGGGCAATAGCAAGACGGACTGGTTTGGACATCTATTGGTTACAATTTCGTCAGTTATGGAATCGCTGTTCGGCTTCCATTAAAGCGGCAAAACGAAATTATTATTTATCTCAGACCAAAAATCTAAACTATCCTAAGAGCTTCTGGAAAACTATTAAATCTCTTGATGGCAACACTCACTCATCTGACCTGCCACCACAATTTTTTGTCAACTCTGCTCCTGTGTCAGATAAGTACGAGATGCTAAATTGTTTCAACAAACATTTTGTAGCCTCCAGTTCCTTGTTTGATACAGTTTCTAAAGGTAAATCATCTATTCCACCAACAAGTCAAACCTCAGTAAGCCATACATTCTCTTTTTCACCGTTCTCCGTCAGTGAGTTTACCAAACTGTTAAAAGATCTGGACACTAGAAAATTTGCAGGCCCTGACGACCTCCCTGCCTACTTCTTAAGTCTAGCTGCACAAATTATAGTAGAACCGGTGTCATACATTTTCAATCTGTCTATACAACATAATACTGTCCCAGATGCTTGGAAAACAGCTTTTGTTCTGCCATTATTGAAGGGAGGAGACCCCACTATAATGAATAATTATCGACCAAACTCTGTATTTTAGCTAAGGTTTTAGAAAAACTGATAAATACCCAAGTCAAGAAGTATTTGGAGTTTTAAAATATTTTAACTTTTTTTTTTTTCCTCTCTGTACTCCGGTGAAGTCAGACGTGTCTCCCGGCACTCTGTACCCCCCCGTGCTTCCCTGCATGCACTCTTTTGTCCGGTGAACCCTTAAAGAGCCTTTTTCCTGCATACCTCCTAATTTGAAGGATCAGTTGGTCTCTCAACAAAATCGATCAACTTCTCCCGACAAGAGTCAAGGTAAGGAGGACCCTCTAACCTCGACAAAAACAAATTGGATTCATGATGACAACTGGTTTTTTTTTTTGCTGTTTGGCTGGTGAATTCTGGATTGTCTACAAATTTGTGTGGATGTGTCGAAACTTGGCAGCACTCAGACTGAATTATGTGCAGCTGCGTCAGAGAGCTGGATGGAGCAGCTGTTATCAGGACTGTGGACTCTCTCGCAGCACACATGAAGGTGGGAATAATCTTGGAGAAGCTGTGAGCTCGACTTTAAGGAATCAATTCGGCTGTTGGGAGTTTCCATCAGAGGAATATACCAGCGAGACTTTAAAAGGCAGAAACAGCAATTCATGAGCTCTGCCTGACCCAAACTGTGGCCTTGACGCCGGACTTATCTCAACTCCTCCTGGCATGATTTGAAAAAAAAAACCCAAAGACGACCTATTTGTCTCCTCACCCCTATTCCCCAAGGTCGTGGACATGTGATGGAACCTCAACCAAGCCGATGATAAAGAACACCTCTTACCTGGACAATGGCTGGGGGGGGATTTGACATCATTCAGTCAGACATATTCCATCTCAAGCTGGTGCTAAATGCTGACAAAACCAAAGGGGTGTTGTTTTCTAACAGAAAGTCAGTGCCAGCAACTCTTCCTCCTATCTCATCCATGCATGGTGTTCCTATTGAGTTTGTGGATTCTTACAAATACTTGGGAATTTTGGTTGACGCACATCTCTCTTTTAAACCACATATTGAAAACTTGATAAAGAAACTGAAATTAAAACAGGGTTTCTTTTTCCGAAACAGATCTTGCTTAACGCTGAATGCCAGAAAACGCCTTGTAACCGCTACCTTCCTACCCGCCATTGACTATGGTGACATTATTTACATGAACGCCCCTGCCAGCTCCTGCCAGATGTTGGATGCTGTCTACCATGGTGCACTAAGATTCATAACTGGTTGTAACTACTGTACCCATCACTGCACCCTGTACTCCTTGGTCAGTTGGTCATCATAATCCACACGTAGGCTCTCACACTGGTTCATTTTCATCTATAAATCCCTCCTTGGTCTGCTGCCTCCTTATATCTCCTCCCACATGTTACGTCATCAGTGCAGGTACAACATGCGCTCTCAGGCCGTCACCTGCAGCGTTCCCTCAGTGTGGACTGAACTTGGCAAAAAGGCCTTCTCCTACTCAGCTCCTGCAACCAGAACTGAAGTTGTCCTCCTTGATTTTTTTAAGGGGTTTCAAACATTTGATAATGTCAATAGAAAAATCACAGCAAATATGCTCGTTTTTAGTATTTCAACCTGTTTTATGGCACCCTGATTTATTGTTTTGTACACTACTATTATTTTAACTGCATTTTTACTTTAGTTTATTGTTCTCATTGTCTAATGTTGTTCTCTGTACTTTACACATATTCTGTCTGGAACAGGTCTCTCTTGTAAATGAGTCCCTAATTTTGGTCGATAACGCAGAAATGCCTCAGTAAATGCTTCAGGTAACATCGTGAGCTTCACTACCTCCACCACTACAGCTATCTTGCTTGTTTGTTTGTCCGAGGTTAGTTCACCCTGGGTTACATTTCCTCATGGGTGGAGCAACCTTACTGTTCACGTAAAATATTTGATAATGTTCTTATAGAGACAATTCCTGAATGTTGTTCATACTGTGTTAATGCTACATGTTAGTCTCTTTACCTTACAACTGGGTAAGGTTACAGTGGACCTAGCCCATTACTGGAGTTTTAATTAGTTATTTTAAGCTACTAATAAACACGATGGATGACGATCATATTGCTTTATACAAGGCCATTGGTAAGAAGGAGTGATTATTGTTAGTTTGATGAGTGTGCTCATTGATCCTGACTTCCTCATTTTGATTTAAAAAAACAAAACAAAAAAAAAACAGCACAATTTTTTTTTATTCATTTTTGTTTTTTTAAGGTCAAAGTGTTTTATATAACACTCCTGATTTAAAATGTTGCTGATCAATTTGAATTTATTATTATTTATTGATTATATTTAATTTTATTTTTCAGTATCAAATGGTCAAAAATGTTTACAGTTTAAAAAAGGATTTAAGTTTTTTTTTCAGGCAAATTGATGCACTTTAAGTTGTTTCTGTTACAGACTAAAAAAACAATGTTAATAAAGTTATTCTTCGTTGTAAGTTGATCTATATTCGTTTTTTTTTCTTGAATGTTAATAAGGACACAGTGTTCTGCAGTGGTGCACTTATAACAATTTTATAGACAAGTAATACTATTTGCAGTCGCGGCCGAGAGTTGGGGGGACGCAAAATGTTTACGTCTTCCTGGGGGGGGACAGAAAACTATTGAGAAGCACTGGGTTACACTGTTTCTTAGACTGTGTCTAGGATGCGTGAGAGAAGCGGAACGTGCTCTATTCACACAAGGAGAGCTGTTGGTCAGGATAATTCTTGTTGTGCCATTAACTCTAAAATAGTTACTGAATCAAGTAATACTTATGGAGGTAAAACTAGATGTTAAACAACCTGTTAAAATACATCAAAATGCAGGAAATGGCATCTCTTTATTCAAAATTTTCTGGGGGAGGACCCCCCACCAGTGTGTCACCCCACATTAAAAAATGCTTCTGATGCCAATGGTCACCACATTGATTGACAAGAGCCATTGTCAGCGCTAAAGCGCCCGTTAAGAGCAGATTCTAGGGTTGCCCCCTGATGTAAGGTTATAATTACATGATTTTAATAATAATAGGTCGTGATCTAAAGTGGGCCACTCTGAGGCTGAAACTCCAGGGCTGAAAATGGGTCCCACTCTGGCCCTGCTTTTGTTGGGTGTAACTGGAACCCTGTGCACACAATTTTGTTCCACCACCATATGTGAACATATGTATATTTATATTCCACCACCCTATGTGGTGTGAACGACAAATAAAGCACCTTGAATCCTTGAATCTTAAAGAAACGCTAGACATCAAATCTCTATAAACACATTCAGTCGTGTCCGTTTTCTTATTGTATCAAGAAAAAGTTCCCTGTGGTGTTTTTCACTGAACAATTCTGTGTTGTGAGGGTTCTGTGGACGTACGGGGTTTTCTGGTGGTGACAGTGGTGCGAGGAGAAGGTGGCCCAGTGCCGGCACTGTTGTATGCCAGAACAGCAACGTGGTACCGAGTGCTGGGTCGAAGGCCGGACACCCTGGCTGTTGGTTCAAGACCTGCTGTTCTGACTCGGTCCGCTGCTGCCTCTCGTTCATGCTGCCGCCAATACCTGATCTGAGGACACACAAACGAGTCATGATGGATCCTCCCATGCTTCCTGTCTGCAGGAGTAATGGCTGCCTGAAGTCAGGAAACAGCTAAATAAAAGTGACTGGAGAAATGCTGAGGGTTGAATAACTGCTGAATTTTGTTGAAGAAGCTAAAACTGAATTGCCAATGTTAAAACAAGCTAAAACAGGCAAAACAACAGTTAAAAGTAGCAGAACAGTAGCTCAAATCATCAAAACTATAGCTAAAAATACAAAGAGCCGAGAACGATGAAGTTAAATCAGCAAAACAGTGGATAAAATTTGTGAAACAGTACCTAAATATTAAATGTATTGGAACAGTAGATCAATGTTAAAAGTTGCAGGATAGCAAAAAGCTAAAAGCAACAGAACAGTAGTTGAAAGTTTTTTAGTTGATATGCTTAATTAAAGTATGCTTTTAAAAGTGCACAAAGAAAAAAGTTACAAAACCTAAAAGTCTTACCACAATATATTTTTTACATGAATGCTCAAAACTGATAAAAGTATACTGAAGTATTTTTAAAATAAATTTACCAGGAAACAACAGTGTGAATGCAAACTCAGCACTCAGACGGTCTGGGTGTAGGGCAACAGGCACCTGGTAACATTGTGTTTCTGTATTAGTCCTGTTTAAATCAACAAGTAATCAGCCTGTCAGCAATAATAAGGCAATGCATTTGCTTTGAGTTCAGAGAGAAAAACTAATAAAGTTCATAATACGAGCTCGATTTATGACGGTCTACAGCACTAAACATTATCCGTCCCGTCTGTAACAGGGCAGAGCTTTGAGTCAAAGGCGTCTGTGGGAGGAATCCTTATCTGCTAGAGCAGAGGCTGAGCTTAAAGATCATTTGGCTGCAAGTGCAGGTAATGCTGCACATTATGCAACTCACAGGACAAACTCCAGCAACATTGCTCACATGGCTGGATAAAGTAAAACATCCTGTTTGTGTGCATGTTACACGTCTAGATTAATTGTTTCTCTTCACCCTTACATCACTTGTATGGAACGTTCTCCAGTACATAAAGAACTCTCCAGTTTCTCCTTACAAGAAAATCTTGTTTTCAACGCAGAACCTAAGTCGCAGCAATCACTCCTTGAAATTTTGTCCTGCGCAGCCTCTTCCTGTCTTTATTTCATGATAACAATGAAAAAAGGCAGAATCAAAAAAAACTTCCTTGTATGCAGGGGTGGTTCATCCATCCATTATCTTTACCCGATTCTTCCTGTTTTGGGGTCGCGGGGGTCACTGGTGTCCAGCCATCACTGTGCGAGAGGCGGGGGACATCCTGGACAGGTCTCCAGTCCATCACAGGGCAGGGGTGGTTCAGTTTTTTATTTTTTTTATTTTCACAAGCATACAAAACATACTTTTATTTTGGTGCAGCTAAAAAAAAAAGTACAGAAAAATGACTTTTACAAAACTCATTTTATTAGAAGTAAAGCTGACACGTGGATATTGTACTAAGATGAAATTATTTTCATTCCACACGTACATACATCTCAAAATGATTTAAAACGTACAGATATTTATCATAAACACCAGAAACCAACTATCTCACAGAGAGAACTTTGTGAGTTTGGGTTAAAAAAATATTTGCTTTGATCTGGAACATATAAATACTCATCTTTTACTCATCTCGTGTTAATATTGTTAACTCCAAGAACTAAAGCAACAGAAACATGAGTCTCACAGAGACACTTGAAGTTCAGGCTGTGCGCTCTCGCAGTGGTGCTCTCTCTCAAAGACCAGGAGTTTGATCACATGCACCAGTCGGACATGTCTGCGATACCGACGATGCTCCGAACACATGAACATCTAATACAAAGCTGGATTTGAGGTTTTAGATGCAAAAACTCCAGCAGGGTCAGGGATGCAGTGTGGGAAGTCTTTCAGCCACAGCAGGATCAGTGACAGTGCTGTGCACATGCCTGGTTTATTTTCAGTATGCCCCTCAGGTGTGACCACTGCTCGCACCGGGGCTCACCGTACATCGGACGCTGTGTCAATATTTGCCATGCGGAAGAATAGCAACATGTTGGTAATACAGGGCATATTAAAGAAAGGTCAACTTTTTTTTCAACCCACTCCCCCCAGTGAAAGGTTTGTACGCTTGAAAAAATGTAATAAATAGCAATAAAAGCTTTTTGATCCTGATTCTTTTTCTGTACCTGATTTGTCCAAGAAGTGGGTGCAAATTGGACGTGTTTACAGTCCATCACAGGGACACGAGTCCAACAATCATGCACAAACACTCACCCCTAATATGAGTTTCAAACCTAACCTATGAATAATTGCTGAACGCTCTTTATGCTCTTTTTGATTGTTAGAAGTTAAAAGAGACTAAGCGTAGCTGATGCAGGTCATCACCTCATATCCTCGGAGAATCCCATTGGCACTAAGCTGCTGGACAGGCTCCCATGACACTTGGATCTCAAAAGCAGAAAGTGCTGAGGCGTTGATGCTTGAAGGTCCCACTGTTGGTTCTGTGAGGAGAACATGCAGCAAACTTCAACATTTACACCATCTAATGACATTACACCAAAGAACACCACACAGCCATGTTATTGTTTATTGTTATTGTTTTGTGGTCATACTTTGGATGTACAGTAGTCTCTCACTACTTTGCGGTTCGTTTTTCGCGGACTCGCTCTATCGTGTTTTTTTAAATAACATTGGACATGACACACAACTGGTTGACTGATGGATGAGCTGCACAATCTGCATGGAATTTTTATTTAAAATTAATTATTTTAAATTATTTAGCACCTCCTGCACCTCTGTGCAGCCCATGCTGCAGGATAAGTTTCCTGCTGCAGCAGCTCTCTGTGCAGAGCAGAGACGTGGGCGTGGCCAAGAGCGCTTGCAGGTGGCTGAGAGCAACTGAGGCCGAGAGCTGAAATCATGACATTCTATGTCCTTTTAGACGCGTTTAGAGTTTAGAAAACTGATTCTTCCCCCAACAATCACTGACACCACCACAATCCTAGCACAGTGTTTGGTGACATCATGGCATCTGCCCAGGACTACACTGATACCACAACACCTGTCAAGAAGTCCATCAACACCATGACACCTGCCCAGGACTCCAGGGACATCACAGCACCTGGCCAGGACTACAGAGGACAATACTGCACCTGGCTAGGATTCCATGACCTTCATAGACCCTGCCCCAGATTCCAGGATTATAGGGACACTACAGTTCCTTCCCAGGACTATGCTGATGGTGCAGCATTGGCCCAAGATTCCCTGACAGCCTGCAAGTCCCACAGAATTTGCCTCTTTCTGTTCCTGAATGCTAAGGAGCAAGGCCCACCCACCTGCCTGGATGGCCTTGAGACCACCTGCTGAACTGTTTATGCTACCTGGACAAGTGTCAAACTCAGAAAACAAATAATTGTTTTTAAGCTTCAAGTTTCATCCATCCATCCATCCATTATCTTTACCCGCTTATTCCATTTTGGGTCACGGGGGTCGCCGGTGCCCATGTCCGGCAATCACTGTGCGAGGGACGGGGTACACCCTGGACGGGTCGCAAGTCCATCACAGGGACACAGAGAGACAAACGAGACAAACAACCATTCACTCTCTCACTCACTCACACCTAGGGACAATTTAGAGTTACCAATCAGTCTAACATGCATGTTTTTGGTCTGTGGGAGGAAAACGGAGTACCCAGAGGAAATCCATGCATGCACGGAGAGAACATGCAAACTCCACCCAGAAAGGCCCCCGGACCGGGATTTGAACCAGAGACCTGCTCGCTGAGAGGCAGCAGCTCTACCAGTTGCGCCACCGTGCTGCCTGCTTCAAGTTTCAGCCAAGGTTAATTAACTTATTTGGTCCACTGTTCCACGACCACGATTGAGGCCCTCCTGCTCATTGTAGACATGGCCATACTGACACTGTAGAGACATGCTGACCATGAAAGCCCTACAAGGTTCAGAAGCTTCTGCATCTCAGGGGCAATTTGGTCTACTCCTTGTGCCAAGCTGCTATAGAACTTTTTAAACACTTCACAACCTTTGCAAAAGAAATTCTCTCTGGATCAGATCCTACATTTCGCAGAATTGTTGAGGGTTCATGGGAGTTTAAATTTTCAGCCTACATATGTTTTGGGAACTTGGAAGGTCTTGTGATGGCACAATTATGAGGGTGTCAAGGGTGCTACCAAAGACTGGTGTCCACAGAAAGATCAAAGACCAAAGATGAAAGTGGAAGACACCAAAAATCTGGTCTCCATAGAACCAAACCAGCTGAGTCTCCATTCTTGCCACAAAGTCTAGGTTTTCCAGGTGTGGTTTAGACTCCACCAGAACGGCCCATTTTCAGTGATCCTGCTTGTGATGCAAAGGCTTGATGGATCAGTGTTCCTTACCTTCCTCTGCAGAGTGGACTACCACGATCTGGCTGAACGGACCTTCTCCTCTCCAGTTATACGCTTTGATCTTCGCCTCAAACGGACTATACGGTGTCAAGCTTTGGTTGTAGTAGACAAAACGAGATGAGTCCACTTGTGGAATTTTGACTTCTGACCACGATGATGAGTCTTTCCTTCTGAATGCCAAAATGTAGCCGAACCCGTCACCGTTTTGGTACTCTCTGGCCATCGTCTGGAGAATTAAGGACAAAAGAATAATCAACAATTAAACAGGAAGTTTTAAATATGCTGCAACTTCTATTGCTCCCAGAAAGTGTTAAATTATTCCTATACTGGTAATAACTAGAGAAATGGAATTTCCTGTGAGAATGCAGTGTGAATGCTTATTGCTGAATAATTTCAGTTGAAAGCTGCTGAAGATGAAACCAGCTGAAAATGTTTCATTACTAAACTGCTAATGCAAGTGGAGTTTGAATACCTGACATCTGCTGAAAGCTGGAAAATAAAAGATGAAAGCAGCAGAAAAAAACATCAGAAATGTGTAGAAGAAGCTGAATAGAGAAGAAATGTAGCAGAAACTGGCAGAATAAGCTCTTCAAGAATTCAACTACAGAACAAAACTGCAGCTGTTTTGTTTTTAAAACATGATGAGATCTGCCATGTCCTGGACTGAGAATCTACACCAGACCGATCCCTGTGAACTCTCCACTCACCGTCCAAGTAACGATCAGTTCATGGTGTTCTCCTCCTCCTCCTCCAAGTCCACTGGGGGCCACTGTAGGAGCTGCAGACCAGACAAACAACAGAAGATACAAAACATTTAAGAGCCACTGAGGGAGCCGAGTTCCAAATATGGATAAGTTTAAGTAACGAAAGTAGAGATTTTTCTGCCAAAAAAACAACAAAAACATATATATATATATATACAGTATATATATGCTCTCAAAGTGCACAGCATGTCATGAACTGACGCCTGTGCATTCAGCCACGCCCACTTCCCGCTGCAGAACGGAGATCGACAGAGGAGGAAGGAGGAGCTGCAGGAGGAAGTTTCTCCTGCAGTGTGGGCTGCATACATTGGTGCTCATCTGCTCACACAGACTCATGTTCGTGCTGCTGTTCGGCGTATGGTTTTTACACTACAAGTGCTTAGTGTAGTTTTAGCATTATTCTTATTTCATATCTTAGATCTTATTACTGTTTTTCTTTTACGTTTTAATACTTTTGTTGGATGTAACTGGGACCCTGTGTACACAATTTCGTGTGTGACAAATAAAGAACCTTGAATCCTTGAATCCTGTGCAGCAGGTGCTAAATAATTTAAAATAATTTTAAATAAAAATGACATGCCAAACGTGCGGCTCATCCATTCATTAGGCTAACAACTTCAGGGTAGAAGCTGTTCCTCAATCTAATGGTTCTACACTTAATGCTCCTCAACCTCCATCCTGAAGGGAGCGGGGCAAAAAGTGTGTGTGCTGGGTGAGTGGGGTCCTTCATGATGCAGGTGGCCCTCTTCCTGCATCTGGAGGTGTAAATGTCTGTGATGGTGGGGAGACTGATTCCAACATCTTCTGTGCAGCCTTCACCACTCTCTGCAAAGCTTTTCTTTCTGCAGCTGTGCAGCCTCCATGCCACACGTTGATGCTGGAGCACAGGATGCTCTCCACTGCACACCTGTAGAAGGAGGTGAGGACTGAGCTTCCCAGACCAGCTCGCCTCAGTCGCCTGAGGAAGTAGAGTCTCTGATGAGCTTTCTTCATCAGGCTGGTGGTGTTGTTGCTCCAGCTGAGGTTGTTGTTCAGGTGTAAACCCAAGTACATACATACATATATATATATATATATATATATATATATATA